AACCAGGCCTGCACCTACTGGCAGCTTAGGATTCCTCAGAGCCCGATTCACATCACCATCACCTCTTGCTTGAACATCTTGTGCCCTGTGCCACGGGGTGCATTTCCAAGCCAGGTTGCCAGTTGTCCCCTCATCCTGCCCCTCTTATCACCACCTCTCACCTCTCTTACCTGGTATGGAGGTGTGAGCACCTCTCCTTTATCCTTTAAGTCCTACTTCTGGCATTGGGCATGACTCATCCTTGAAACAAATGCCTTTTGCACTAGGACCCACACTGCCTAGGTACACTGGATCTGCCCCCAAACCCTGACATTCTAGAGTTCTCTCCCAGTGGGACTGTGCTCAGGTGTGTACCCCATGTAGAACCAGGGATGCTTGGAGCTAGGACATGACTAAAAGGGCACAACACCCTTCAGCCATGCAGTGCCAAAGTACTCGACTGACTCCTACACCTGAGACCCCTTGAAAATGTGGGACTAGATCGGCTATCAAAGACTTGTCTCCCAAAATCCTGCTTTGCCCCAATCCCCAAGCCCTCTACATAGAGACCAAGGGCAGACCCAAATAGAAGACATCCATGAAGTCTTGACCTCAAAGACCACACTTGGGTATCTGTGCTGCCCGTGTGTTTTTGGAAGGAAGAAGAGAATTATCCAGCTTTCAACAGTTAAAAAGGAGTCTGTGACCCCCTTCAAAAGTCCAGACACAGCACATGCCAACTCCTGCTCCATCCCCACTTCCCTCTCTGTGAACAGCCAACCTCAATCACTTATAAATAGAAATCTTCTCTGGACATGTATCTACAGTGTCAGGATGGACCCAGACACTAGTGACAAGCAGAATAGCCCCCTGCCCTGTCCTATCCTGGCCTACAAGGCCATCTACCCCATTCTTCAGCTCCCCCAGCCCTGCATGCTGTCATCTTGCTTCTAGAAAAAGACATTAGCCCCTGCCCTTGCTGGGACTCAGAGCCGAGAGAGGACAATGGGGAGCACCTGTGACCACAACCCCATTCTGCTCCCTTCCCTCCTCATGGAGGTCCTGGTCTAAGAACACTTCTTTTTAGGAAGTAAAGGAGTGGCCCAGATCTGCTCAAGCTGTTTGCACCCCACCAGAAGCCAGATGACATTGACGTTCCCCTCCCCAAATAGCCACCTGGTGTTGAGTCTGCAGACTCAGCTCTCTCCAGCTCCCTCCTCTCAGTCTCCAGGGACAAAGATGTAGCATCTATCCTTCCTTTAGCCTCCTGCCCCCTCCCCTCACTCCCTGCATGGCTTCCAGGGCACTTTTGATAAAATACAAACCTGGTCATATGGCTGACCTGCTGAAATCTTTGTTGAGAACCTGTCAACACAGTTCAAATTCCTTCTGGTGCCTCTCAGGACCTGGCTCTGAGTTTTTCCAACTTCATCTCTTGTTCATCCCAGCCCTCGCCTAGTGCTCCACTCATTCTGAATGCCTCACTTAGGTTTTGGTGCCTGGTGCCTCTGGGCCCTCCACCTTGCTGCATCCTAGGATGGCTGTACCCTGCCTGTCCTTCAGACTCAGCTTGAGTTCATCCCTTCTCAACTCCACATTCGCTGACACATAGGCAACTAGAAACTGACTATGGTGGGAGCATTTACACCATGGCACCTGGCAAATTGGGGTAGATTTATTTGTTCTGTAGTCCTAAGGCTTTATATATGCTAGGTAACCACTTCCCTCTGAGCTGTCTTCAGCCCTTTTCCCCTTTCTTTTAAATTTTGATATAGGATCCCGCTAAGTTGCCTGGGCTGATCTTGAACTTGCAATCCTCCTGCTTCAGCCTCCAGAGTAGCTAGAATGACCTGTACCCAACAGGCCCAGCTTTTGGGGGGAGGGGGCTATTTGTTAAACATTCATCAGCACATCATTGTTTAAGCCCAACTCTGACATGGAGGATATGATTGTGGGATGGATGGAAAGGTGGATGGAAAGATAAATGGAATAGAATAGAATGGGTATATGGATGAATGGGTTGGTGGGTGGGTTGGTGGGGGGTGGGTGGATGATTCAGTATTCTGGACTCACTGCACTGCCTCTTGGTGTGGGACATACATTTTTACTCATCTTATATCAGTTCACACACACTTCTAAGTCCCGTCATTTTCTTGCTCCCTGCCTCCTCAGTGACCTGTGTCCTTATCCCTTTCACCAAGCCCCCCAGGCACTCCAGTCTTTTAGTTCTCTGCTAAGTGGCTAAGGGGTGGGGGAATCAGGAAGCAAGTAGAGAACATGGTGCCAACCTTGGGGAGACCGGAGTATAACAAAATGATGTGCCTTCAGTCAAAAGGTAGGTGGAGGGGACAGGCACCATCCCTAGCAACAAAGCTGAACACCAGGCAAAGGAGGTGGTAGAGGGAGAGGACAGGGCCTGGGGAGGTGCAGAAGGCTGGGGCTTCACTCACAGCAATCCCCTCTTTAGACCTCCCCAAGCTGATTGATATAGTGATCGATGGATGCAATCACTTCATTGAGAGTCCGGCAGGGAAAACAAGAGCCCCTGGTCTGAGAACCACTGCAGCAGCGTCTTCTTCAGAGTCCTCCCTTCATTCAGCTCCACCTCCCCTGCCATCCCCTCCATCTGAGTCCCATACTCCCCCTCCCTGCCTGGTCCCGGTCCTCCATTGCATCTGGGCCCCTGTTTCTGTCTTCAGCGCCTTGCCCTCTCTATGTTCCCCTGTATCTCTGAACCTCCATCTGTCTCTACCTCTTCCCCCCTGGATGTCTGTCTCTCCCTCTATATCTCTGTCTCCCTTGTCTCTGCCACTGTCTTTTTTGTCCACTTCCCCTTGAGCCTTCATGTCGCCCTCTGTGTGTCTGTCTCCTTCCTATCTCCCCTCTGGGTCCCTCTGGGCCCCTGTCTCTCAGCCCTGTATGCCTCCTCACTCCCCTTCCCGGCATCCCCTCCAGTCTGCTCAGGGGCCCAGATGGTGGGACTTTCACGCTGCAGTGCCTGCAAGCACAGGGCCATGGCAGCTTCTGGGGCTTCATGCCACCTCCCCTACCCTCCTCCAGAGGCTGCCAGGCAGCATCCAGTCATCTGCCTAGCCTGCTGGGGACTCCCACTCACCCCCATGGGGCCTTCAGCAGCCAGGTACTGGGACAAACTTATCCCTACAGCAGACACTGCTACCTCTGAGTGAGGGCTTCCTGCTGCTGAGGGCTTAGGGGGAGCTAGGGTTGTCCCCCCTTTTCTCAGGAACTTAAGTAAGAAGGTGCTATAAGCACCCACAAGTAATAGCTGTTCTTGCCTCTCAAAGGGGTGTCCTTCTTGACATCTAACTGAAAGCCCTCTCGCTGTGGCTTCATCTGCCCTCAGCCTGTGTGACTCAGCTTCTTCCCAGTGCAATCAAAGCCTCCACCAGCAGCATCTGGCTGGGCAAGGACTGCTGGGCACACCCCCCCCATGGGAGAGAAGGGCACGAAGAATGTGGCCCCTGGGGGAGGGGGACCTGACTACAGCCAACATTGAGTGAAACAGAGGAAGTGGCAGTTCAAGCTTGGGGAGCTAAGGTGATAGAGGTTAGGGGCTGCTACCTCTTAGGTCCCAGGAGAAGAAGATGCTGTGCCCACTCCCCCAGCCACCTGGCAGAGTGGAGCACCTCTCTGCGGGAGGCTGGCAGAGCAGGCATGTGCATACATGCCCACGCCCCATGCAGCCCAGACACAACACGCCCACCCAGTGCCATGCATGCCCACCTGCTGGCACTGCAGCCAGTGTGTGGTTCCCCCCCCCACACCTCGACAACTTAGGGAAAGAACAGTGCATAGAATAGCTACTCCATGCTGGGCTGTTGGAGCAAGAGGAAGGATGCCAACATGATGTGATAATGGAGGGGTATACCTGGCCAGACAGGGTAGCTTAAGTAAGAGCCAAAATGTTCATGACACTGCCAGAGTAGAGCTCAGTGGGGCAAGGGTAGAGGCCCCTGAAAAGTGAGCATCTATCTCACTTGCCCCACACAGGCTGGCTAGGCCCAACTTGGTTGAAACACCCATCCTGTATCACACTGGGCTGGCACAAGTGCCTAGAGCCTCTGCCTAAGGGATGGGGAGTGCACACACTCAGTTCCAAACCAGGAAAGGTGGGTTTCGGGGGCCCAGTCCCTTCCCCTGCTTATCCCCAGTGGCAAGAGCATTTAGAGGAACAGGGTAGGGACAAAAAGGTGCAGATGGACCCACATACCACAGCATCTGCTGGTTGATCTCTTCTTAATGCATCCCAGCCTATGTGTGTGACCCAGTGGGGACCCAAGGTCACATTTTCTGTCTTCACAGCTTGGAAGCAACCTCTTCCCCTCAGCCCAGATCCCATAGCTCACAGCCATCAGCCCTCAGAACAAGACTCCCTCTTCCACATGACAGCCCTTCAAATATTTGAAGACAGCTCGCCACCCCTGCTGAGCCTCCTCTTCTCCTGACTAAACACCCTACTTCTCAGAATGACTCCTCAAACGCACTGATTTCAAGTTGCCTAGCCGTGCTGGGCACTCTCATCTACCCAGAGCTGCCCTGGTTTTCATCAAGCTGTGACCTGAAGTCAGGCCAAGATTGCCTCTCTACTGCACCCTGATATTCTCCCAGGCACAGCCACTTGATGCCCCCAACCCCTCATTTCCATCTGCATGGCCTTCCTGCCTCATCAATCACCCCCTACTTACTCAGCCAACACCTTCTCTGCCTGCTATGCCTTCTCCAAAGATCCAAGTCCCTTCTGGTGGCCTGACCCAACATGTGTCCCCACATTGCTTATCCATAGAAAGCCCACCTCTTCTGAGAAGCCTTCTCAGACAGAACACACCTGCACCACCTGGACAACCTCCACACTCAGCATGTGGTATTGTGCTCACTCTAGGATCTTCACCCATCACTTCATCTCTCCAGCCCCTCCTCCCTCTTCTCAGTCATGAAAGCACAGAGAGGAACCAGCCCCAAAGGGGAAGTGGCTGCTTGGAGCAGGCCTTGGGCATCCCTACCTGCTCATGATACTCGATGCCCATGCTGAGGGTATTCACCAGAATAGCAATCATGATTCCTCGGCCAAAGTATTTGCTATCTACAATCTTCCGGAATGTGTCACAGATCAGCCTCCAGAAGGCCAGCACAGAGCTAGGCTCTGCATCTGGGCCCAGGCTCCGCCGCCGATGGCTGTGGGGGTCCCGGAGGTCACTGTGCTGGGCGTCCTGTGTGAATTCATATACAGCCTCGCTGTCTGAGTCAGCCATCTCATGGTCAGCAGGCTCCAACTCCCCTGCTCCTGTCCGGGCACAGTAGGGGCAACTATCTGGACCACAGGCTCCACTGTCTGCCTTGGAGCAAGGGCTGGAGATCTTGCAGGAGCTGTGGCAGGCTCCTAGAACAGGAGAGAGGTGTCAGAGACTAAGGGGCTCTCACCTGGAGCTCCCCTGCCTTCCGAGGATGTATAGCCTGCAGAAAGGAGGCTGGGGGTTACAGTGTGCTAGGCATCTGGTGAACAGGGTGTTTCTGAATAACAAATATTCCAATGTCAACAGCGCCCTGTTGATGGTTGCTTATGAGTGTCCTAGGTTTGAAGCGGAGAGGCAGCCCCCATGTCCTCTGAGCTCTTATGCAGCACCTACATCCTAGGAGCCTTCAACCAGGAGCCTTGACCATCTCCTCTTCCCAGGAAATCCAGCCCTGAATCTACACGATGCTAAGTGGTGTTTTCCAAAAGATCCTTGGGACCCACCTATACATGTACACTTGTCACCACACACACCAGACACATCTACATACACACCACATACTCAGTATGCACATGTATAGTGAATACACACTACTTCTACATCAAAATATCAATGCATACACAGCAAACACATGTGTACCCAAACACATTCATATCACCCAACGTGCATATGCCAGACACCAGGAAGGAGCACCACACCCATGCATATGTGAATCAGACACATGCTCATGAACGAGCCCTAGACACTTGTCTCATGCACACACACACATTCTGAACCCTTTCCCTCATGCACACAAGCACACATACATACACCAGGCATGTTCCTGAACATACACAGTGACCTGTCCCAGGGTGTCCATGTTCATTTAAATCATGCTTTGGTCACAGAATATAAAAACCAAAAGGAACCTCAAACAGCACACAGGTAAAGCGTGTGTATAGGAGTGTTTGGCTCAGGGCCCAACCCCTAGTAGGCACAAAGTGGCATTTCCCCCTCCCAACTGCATCTGTACACACCACACCTCAGGGTGTCTGGATGCCCTGTACTGATGATGACCCCAATCCCACCTATCGGGGGAAGTGGAAGCCTGTATGTATGATGTGATCGGTCCATGACCCATGTCAGGGTAATGGGAGAGCTGGCATAAGAACCTCTCACTCTAATCTGAGTGTGGTAGCATACACCTTTAAACTTAGCACATGGGAGGCAGAAGCAGGCAGATCTATGTGATATCAAGACCAGCGTGGTCTACATAGTAAGTTCTAAACCAGCTAGAACTACAAGGAGACCCTGTCTCAAAAAAAACAAAACAAACAAAACAAAACAAACAAACCAAAAGACCAAAAGAACCTCTTGCTCTGTGTTCTTTGATGACACTTTCTGGTCCCCAAGCACATTCCCAGGGGACATTGTCACACATGTCCCACTGCTTTCTATCTGCCACATTCTTCTTGAAATACAGGCCCTGGGCTGTGTCTTCTGGGGAGGCCACCCCTGCATGGATAGGCTGCCCACAAGCAGCAAGCAGCTCACTCTCCGGGTCACTGCTGTTCCACTCATCAAGCCAGCTGCTCCCAGCACTGGCTGCTCCAGCCCAGAGTCTCTGTTTACAGTAGTCACCATGTAAGGCACCAGGCTGCCATAGTCACACACCATTCCCCTCTCTGAGCGTTGGGACAAGGGGCACTGAGTAGGCTGCAGAGTTAGATTGTCCTGAAGTCACTCTCACCAACACTCTCAGCATCCTGTTTCTCCTGCATACAACAAAGACGCTATGCAAGCTTATCACCAAGTTGTCCAGAGGGCTCAAGCAGATCTTACCTATAAAGCATGTGTCAGGCGCACCTGCCAGGCACACCTTCGGGCAGCAATGGTTAGTCGTGATGGCCAAAGGCATAGAATGGAGCCCACAGTAGGTACAAATGCATAAGTTATTGTTATTCCTACATTGTAATATATACAACAATCAGGACTCCCATTTGGACAGATGAAAAAATAGAACTCAAAGTAATGAGACTGGTTGAAAGTACCAAGGCCACAAGAGGCAGCATGTGAACCTGAGCCCCGGTCTCTCTGACTCCACACCCCCAGTCTCTCCCCAACGCGGCATCCCAGCACACCTGCCCATGCACTTACCGGTACTCTGTGTCTCCAGTAGTTTGTGCATAGAGCTGAAGGGCCCAGGTGGGATGTTGAGGCTGGTGAGGGTGGGGGGCCCAGAGCTGGGGGCCACCTCCACCAGCGCCTTATCCTTCAGCATCTCTGGTGGAGGACTGGTGTGCACAGTGGGGTATACTTTCCCACTACCCACAGTCCTGCCAGATGCCTCAGATGGGGACCTGGGAGGGGGCACCTGGCAGCGGACTGGCTCCAAGTGGCAGTCGGCGTGGTAGAAGCTGTGCACAGACTCCGCACCCCTCGGAGGGCCCCCAGAGAGGGTGGGCGTAGAAGGAGGTGGCAGCATGAGCCGGCGGGAACCGTTGGCATCCCTGTCCTGGATCTCTGGGCTGGCCCGGGGCGCCCTGAGCGTCCCATTACCCAGGTGGTAGTGGTGGTGATGGTGGTGATGGTGGTGCACCAGGTGGTGGACAGACAGACGGCGGCGGGAACGAGAGCAGCTGCCACTGGGCTGGGGCTCCTGCCCCCCAGGGGCCGCTGGGCTGCTTAGCAGCCCTACTCGGACGCCTGCAGCCCGAGAAACCTGGGCCAGTCTGCGGGCTGCCTTGCGGAGGATGTACACCAGGTACTTGAGCAATTCCTCATAGCAGCTGCCCGGCTCGGAGAAGCTCGCCAGGGTGCTAGCATTGGACAGGAACCGGACACGTTGTTCCCGCATCAACTGACTTTCCCGCTGCTTGGTCTCCGAGAACTGCGTGGCAATCACCACCAGGCACAGGTTGATCATGAAGAAGGAGCCCACCTGCAGGGGTGGGGACAGGAAGAGATGTCCTGAAGAAAAGCGAATTTCAATGCCAATTGCTGCATTTGCAGATCTTCCTGTGGGCCAGGCATGGGGTTCATACTTTCCCTGTGTTATCACTTTTTATTGTCATGACAGTCTTGGGAGTGGACACTTTTGTAATCTCCATCTGAGCAGTGAGGAGGCTGAAGCTCAGAGAGGTCAAGGAATTTTCCCAAGATCATTCAGCTAATACGGAGCAATGTTAAATAAGATTGAAACTAAGCCTTGTGGAAGTCCAAGGTGTTGCTATTGGAGATGGATTGAATCCTTCAAGATTACCTCCCGGTTCCCTGCCACTGAACATGTATGCATGGAGACTTCAAGCACTCCTCCTCGATTTCTATTAGGAATAGAGAAGACGGTGGAAATGATGCAACGTTGGGGAACAGAGCCTTCAACCTGGATTGAACCTTTGAGATTTACTTATGAGATTCCCACTTGTTCCAATACTAAGTGCATGCATGGCCTTGGGTAAGATCCTTAACTTCAGACCTCAATAACCTCACCTGAAAATGGGGACCTTACAGATTAACCAAACTGTCATTCTAACTTGTCATCCTTCCCCAAGTCCTCATGCCTCAGTTTCCCTAGGACTCTGGGCAAGCTATTGCTTGGACAACAAACCTGAATGATGGAAATAAATATTTATGGTGACAAAGCGAACTTTTTTTTTTTTCCTAGATCATGTCCTAGTAATTATGATAATTAGCTCCACTAGTGTGATTCCAGAGTGCTGTTTGGGAGGAATTTTCAGGGTGTGTGTGGGAGGGTGGGAACTAGGGCCCCGATGTCCCTATCTACCCCTCCCCCAATCAAGCAAGTCTGAGAAGAACAGTTCTCTGAAGCACCCTGCCTCACCAGTGGTGATGGTCAGGGATGGCACAGACCCCCAGCCAGGCTTTGCCCCAAGCCCAGTCATACTTTCGCACCTGGGAAAGTTATGGTAGCTTTGGGAACTTGCTTCTGCATGCTGGCTCTCTCTCCCCAGAAGTAGCCTCATTCTGTCCTCCTCTCTGGGAGCTTCTCCTAGGTCCTGAGTAGTTCTCAATCTCTTAATCTCCTTTCAATGTCTGACCCTCCATTGGCCTCTTGATGACATGGAAGGGCTGGACTTGGAGTTGATTGCCTAGAGTTGACATCTCAGTTCCAGCCCTGGCTTCCTACATGATCTTGGCTCAGTGGCCAACCCTCTGGGGCTCTGAGTTTTCACTGGAGGCTACCCTCCTTGCCAAGGCCACCTCACATGAGCCCATAAGAAAGAAGTCACATCAGCAGTGACAGCTCTCCCCAGCCAGACTAATCCACAGCTTAGATGAGGCACGTGGTAGGGGCAGTTAAATGAGGAAACATCAGTTTCCTTGCTTGTAAAATAAAGACGGTAACAGTATCACAGTGAGGATGAAATGTCCAGCACTCAGGAAGTGCAGAGAGCAGTGGTTGGCACACAGTAAGTGCTCAATAAATATCAGCCATAAATGGTAGCTGTGAAAGCATCTACCATGACTGGCAGTGATTAAAATGACTGAATAGTTCTGCTTTTGCCTGTCTTCCGCCTTTATGAAGTCTTAGAATTTCAGGGTTGGAAGGAATGACTTCACACAGCATTTCCCAATGCTGATTGGAATTTTGGGTAGACAATCCTTGTTTGCAGACATTTCAGGATGTTTAGCATCTTTCTCTTTTCCAATAAAATGTCTAGAGTGCTCCCCTAGAGCTCATGAAAACAAGAACTACACTTTGCCATTTCTGAGCACCCCTAGGGGAGGCAGTAGCACCCTGGGTTGAGAACCATTCACTTTACGGGTGAAGAATCAGAACAGGGTGGGGTTGGGGCCTCAAAGGGAATGACTTACTGAAAGTCCTAATAGTACTAAGTGGTAGAGTCCAGCTTAATCTTAGATTCCTCCTGACTCCTCACCTGGTGTCCTTCCTGCCACATGAGATACCACCTCGAAGGGGCTTAAGAGCTAAGAACTTCCCCTCCATGCAATGCTACATGTGTCCCCAGGATCTCCCATCCCCATAAGGGCTAGAGGAGTCACTCACAATGATGAGGAGGATGAAGTAGATGAAGTTGTAGAAGGAATGAGCATCCATCACAAAGTACATGATGTCCACCCAGCCCTCCAGGGTGATAACCTGAGAAAACAAGAGAGACAGCTGACTCTGGAACCACAAAGCCTTCCCCAACCTCTCTACCAAGGCCCTGAATATCACCCTAACCCCAAGGATGACCACTCCCAGACTATGCTGTGACCTGGGACTGGTGTTCTGGGAAAGTTCCCAGGGCTCAGGTGGCCCCACCTGGAAGATGGCGATCCAGGCATAGCCAATGTTGTCGAAGTTGATGGCACCTTTGAAGGGGTTATGCTCGCCCGCAGAACAGTTGGTATAGTATTGGTTCCAGTTAACACAGGTGGTGTTGCTGGAACTATTGTAGGCCTCATAGTCTAGACCACAGGGTGGGCCTCCACCACCTTCCCCACGCAATGTGGGGACACTCCTACAGGACCGCATGCCATTCTCCCGCGGCTGGGAGCAGATGAAGGGGCTCTCGTCTTCATTCTCTGTCTGGTAGTAAGGCTCCAGGTCCACACTCAGTGGGCTGCAGGATGAGGAGAAAGACAGAGATGAGGTTGGGGAATGGGTATTCTCCATTGAGAGGCCCAGAAAGGAAGAGCTGGTGTGGGTGTGTTGAGACACAGTGGGCAGGCCAGACCTGAGGTGGGAGAGGGGACTGGATAAGGCGGGGCTTTGGGGGCAGGGATGGGAGCACTGGAAGCATGAGGACTTGGTTAGGAGCTCCAGAGTTCAGATGTTGGAGGTCCACATCCTAAGGCAGCATTGCTGCAAACCAGGACACTAGAGGAGATGTTCTTCTTCCTCTTCCTCCCCTTCCTCTTCTTTTTTATTTTTTAAGTTTTTCACTTTTTTTTTTTTTTTTTTTTGAGGCAGGGTCTCATGAAGTGTCCTAGACTGGCCTCAAACTCACTATGTAGCTGAATGATTGTGAACCTCTGATCCGCTTGCCTTTACCTCCTGAGTGCTGGAATCACAGGTGTGAACCAGGTACACAGTTTATATGGTACTGGGTATCAAGCTCAGGGCTTCTTGCATACTAGATAAGCACTCTACTGACTGAGCTACATCCCTAGCCCCAGAGGAATTTTTAAATCCCTGTATCCAAGTTGAACCCGAGGTCAATGTAATTAGAACCTCTGGGAGGGGCACCTGGGCATCGGGGTCTTTAAAATGCACCAGGTGACTCCAATATGTAGCCAGGTTTGAAAGCCAAATGTGTCCCAGATATGGGAAACAGTCACATTCACGGCAATAGGAAGGCAGGGGCTAAGGGAGGCTCATAGCTTCATAGTCACTTTCAGGTCACCACCCACCCGTCCACCACTCACAGGCTGAAATTCTCAGGGAGGAAGCATCGGTTCCGAAGCAGCCCTGCCCACAGCTGGACGCCGACAATGCCGAAGATGAAAAAGACGAAGAAACAGAGCAGCAGGACATTGCCCAGCATGGGCAAGGTGTCGAGCAGTAGCGTGACGAGGATGCGCATGCCTGTAGGACGAGAAGAGCCACGCTGGGAGCTCCAGGCCAGCCAGACTAGACTGGGTACCACAGGCCTGGCAGCCTTCCTGAGGGGGGCTCAACTTAAGCTGGAGAGGAGACTGGCAGACACCCTTAATGCCCCCAGGCAGCCCTTGCAGCCCCTTCGACCCATATTAATCTTTGCATGGTCCCACCACCTAGCCAGTGTGACTGTGGTCTTCCAAAGCTCTTTCAGGTTCCAACTCCCACCTCATTCTCCCCACATTACCATGGGGTTGATGATAGCACCCCCAATTTACAGATGAGAAGTCTGAGGCTCACAGAAATGACGTGAGTTGCTCAGGATGAGAACTGCTAAATGTAGACACTGGGACTTAAATTTAGGCTTTTGTGCTTCCAAATCCTGCTCCCCAAGGCACAGGCAGCACGCACATACACACACCTCCCACTTCCTTCTCTCACCAGACATAGGCACCTAACATTCCTACATGATGACCCTTGGGGTCACGGGGGAAACTGAGACAGACCTCAGACCTCTTGAAGAGAGGGAAGTTAGTCAAGATGATCTGTGCTTCACCAGGTGTCTGAGGCAACTCCCACCCCATTCCTATATCTGTTCACTGCTGGGTTGAAATCCTGAAATCAGGGCCTGAAGAGATATAACTGTCTTTTCAGGAGTCCAGCAGTTAAATGCTCCCTCCATAGGCAAAGCCTCCATATCCCCACCCCAAATAAAAAGTCCTGTGGGGACCAATTCTTCTTCCACTCCAGGTCTAGGACTGAATAACTGAAACACTTGAACCAGCCCGCAGGCCACCCAGCTTTCTCAAATTCTTGTCAAATAGATGGATCTCTATGGCCCTTTTGACCCCCAAAGTGCCCTGTGTGGGCCCTGCTCCCTCTAGGGCAAAGCTTCTAAATGACAGTAGCAGCAGCAGCAGCTGATTAACCCTCCTGGTGATTTGCAGCCACCCTGCCCTGACCAGCCAGACCAGACCTTGTTCCCCTCAGCTCCTCCCATCCCCCTTTAGCTCCTTTGGGCTCCAGCTGAGATCAATTCCTCAGGGCTTGCATTAAGGGAATTACAGCAGTGGTTAGCTAGAGGTCTATCAATCTAGCGGCTGTCACCTGGGGAAGGAGGCCAACTACACCCCTCTTCTGGAGCTCCTGTTAACACCAAGAAGCCCACCCCACCAAGACTCACTCATCAGCTCTGCCCTCCCAGAGGCAGCTGCATCACACACACACACACAGACACACACACACACACACAGACACAGACACACACACACACACACACACACACACACACACACGGGTTGCAGCAGCATGAGGCACAGTCAAGCACAGCACCCCCAGAAACATGCTCCCCCACCTGCTACTCCTAGGTCTATAGTGGGGCTAACTGCAGCTTGTATAGGTTGGGCACTTGCAAAGGGGGCCTGAGCGAAGGGGGAGGGGCAGGATGTCAGGGGAGCTGGAGCTGCCAAACCTTTGCTGGCTCCAGAAACCAATGCGGTTTAATTTAGATAATGGTCCCAGCAGTCACTGCAAAGAGTTGGAAAGGGGTAGGGAGGGGGAAGGGGAGACAGGCACAGTGGGAGGGTAGAGCATAGAGTGGCCTTGTCTGGAGAGAAGTGATAAACCCGTGTGGTCTCACCAATGAGAAACAGAAAAGTCCTTTAGCACTTTGTGTCCCCTCCTGCTGGCCTGACAGTTTCTCCACTGATCCCCACTTCCTATCCTTATTCCCCTGGAAAGGGGTCATCTGAGACATTTCTGAAATTCTGGCCCACAGTCATGTTGAAATGAGTGGGAGTAAGGGTCTTTCCAGGTAGCTTTCCTAGTGACACCACCAGGGTCAGAGGTTCTCACTGGGTCCCTGCTGAGCCCTTCTCTGCCTCAGTCTCCAAAGGTCAAGTCATGATTCAGTGTGCCGATGTACAACTGCCACATTTCCTCTGAGGGCCCTCTGTCCAGGGGATGAGGGCCAAGGGGTCACTCACTGGGCACCCGGTTAATGGCCCTGAGCGGTCGCAGCACACGGACTGTCCTGACTGCTGAGAAGCTGACGTTCTGCAGGTCCAGCGAATACTCCAGCATCCTGTGGGGAGGGGCCGGGAAGGAGGCCCTTTGAGTTTGAGGCCACCACGATGTGAAAGAGGCCAATGAAGAATCCTGCTATGAGGTGGCAGGATGTCCCAGGACTCTTCCCTCTCCTCCACCAAGGGACGCTGAAGATCAGCTCTCTGTCTATAGGACAGGGACACCCCCCCCCCCCAAATGACAAGTCCCTCAGAGAAGGATTCAGAGGACAGGCCAGAGCACTGTAGACAGGCACCCTAGGCCAAGTGGACAGCCAGGGAGGCAACAGATCCACCCACTGCTCTCCCACCCCAGCCCAGGCCCTTACCCCGCAATAACGATGAAAAAGTCAAGTCGGTTCCAAGTGTCTCCCAGGTAACACTTCTTCCCAAAGATGCCCAAGGCCACCATCTTCACCACCATTTCCACGGCAAAGAAGGCAAAGATGAAGTCATCAAAGGCCTGAAGTAAGGAGGAAAGTTTGCTGAAACTGAGAAGGCTGTGGGGACACTGCCACCTGACCCAGTGCCTACTAGCTGGGTCAGGGCCTCTGGCAGAACAGAGTCTGGGGCATTAAGATCCAGGAATGACCTCTCCTTCTTCTAACATACGTACTTACCTGCAAGATTCGGCAGCGCTGGGAGTCACAGGCGATGTCTTCACATGGCCTAAACATGCCCAGCGTCACACAATTGAGAAGAATGACCAACATACTGATGCGCTCGAACCAGGTATCAGGTGTCAAGGAAATAGCTATCCAGACCCTGAGATGAAGCTGCTTCCCATGCCATACCCTAACATCTGCTGCCTGTCAATCAACCCTCCCAAACCCTGGTAGGTAGGGCCCAGGCCTACCATGGGGTCATCACATTTCTCTGAACCCATCTTCCTCATCTGTAAGGTAGAGAAAGCCATAAATACCCATCTGACTATTTGCACAAGATTGTGCTTGTGGAAATGCCAGACTCCCATCAGTTTGCTGTGGATCTGATCCTCTTCTCCCCACCTCACCAGATAGATGTGAGAAGCAAGTGAGATAATGTATGCGAATGTGTTACACAAACCTACAGTTGGATTATGCCTGCCTTACAGTTTACCACGCACTTTCACACAATGCCATGGTTGCTGCTCACAACAGCCCCATGAAGCATCCAGGGTGGATCATTTTATTCCCCACAACCCAAGGACACTAAGACCCAGAGAGCCGAAGCCAAACAATGTGCCAAAGTTGCTCAAGAAGCCAGGATTGGACTGAGGTTTCCAAGCTCATGGTCTACTCAGTCTCTTCCCCACACCACAGCTACTCAGGCAGGTAGGAAAGGTGGCCCTGGTACCAGACAGACAAGAGAACCCATATTTGCAGTCTCCTGGGTACCACATGGGAGCCCAAGGCTTTCTCTCCAACTCAAAGCCCTCAGCTTCTAGACAATTCATGCCTTTCAGAATCAAAACCACACTCCCTGCCAGGCCCTGAACAAGGCACCAGCCTTAGCTGTGCAGAATGGACAGTAGCACCATACATGTGGCCAGGCTGCACCACACCTTCCTGTGCCTTCTAACTCAGACCCAAACAGCTGGGGCAGAGGGAGCTCCCCTAGCCTTCCTAGATGGTGAGTTCTGTTAAGGGATTTGCCTTCAGCCCCTTGGCTGGAGGATAAACAAGATGGCCTCTAGAAGAAGAAGGTTCCAGGCCCTGGACACACAAATGAATGACCAGGCAGCCTAGTTTCCTTGTGGAAACGGGAGTTAGGCAGAAAGAGCAAAGAAGCCAGGGACCAGCAGAGTCCAGGAGAAGAGGTAGAAGGGACCATGGCAGCCTACTTGCCCTGCCCCACCAGTCTACTCAGGGCTCAGAGTTTGTGGCCTCTTTTTGTCTTAACCTTGTTTCCAGAATTAGAAGGCTTCAGCTAGGCATGAAGAGACTAGGTGGAAGGTCCAGGGACCCAAGAACCTTCCTCCTAACTAGTCCCCACCATAACCTACCTCTGTCCTGAATCTCAGAGGCTGAATTCTCCCTCAACCACCTTGAAACCCTCCCCTCTGCTGTCACCCGGGCTCTTTTCCCTTGGGTGCACACCCCTGTCACCACCTGTGCCTAACACCCAACAAGTCCCAATATATTGCAGTTTACCTAATTTCCACCCCTTACAAGAATGAGAGTAAAAAATAAAATAAAATTCTAGGTTTGAGTGGAGGTAAGTAGGTGAGAGGGGGAAATAAGAAGAGTATTTCTATGGAACTGTTTTCCTGAGTGTAGCCAGGAATGGGGGTCAGCCAGGGGTCACTCTGGGAAAAAGGGGATAGGGAGGAAGCCACCACTTGGAAAGGAAAGGACACAATTACCCTTAAGAACTGACCTGCGTTCCCCAAGCTAGCCCTCTCCTCTTCTCTACAAGGGAGGAGGGGCCTGCAGGAGCCCATGGGAACAAATGGTATGGGAGCAGAGCTCTAGGACATCTATTTGGATGGCAGTGAGTCCACAGAGTAAAGTCATCCATGCACTTGACTTTCCTTTCCTGACTGTGGGCTCCTGGCAGACAGGGGCACTCTGCTACATTCTTAACTCCCCTCCCCCACAGAGTTTAGTGTAGTGCATAGCTCATAGCAAATGGTCAGTGCATGGGAAAATTAATGAATGAATGAACCAATTCATCAATCAGTCAATCAATCATCTGCCTGCCTAGAAGCCAGATGTGTCTCTCCATTCATGTTTTCCTGCTCTGTTTCTTTCAGCAGTGACAAACTGATTACAAAGATGTGGGAAGGGGCAGGATTGACTCCACCAGGGATCTGGCTCTCTTACTCTTCCTACTGTACACAGGCTCAGACTAGAGCCTCTTACACCCAGAATCTGCCCCAAACAACCCCACATCAGGCTCTTAACCAAAAAGCACCTTCTCTAGGCCCCTTGGCAATCCAACCTGCGTTCAGGTACAACCCTCTGCACTTCCCCTTCCCCTTCACTGAATCATTCAGAAAAATGATTCTGAATGTACAAATTTAGAATAATCTGAATAGAAATATATAACTAATGGGGGGGGGTCTTTCACCCTTCTCAGGGTGGGGCTCGTTTCCTTGGGAACATGGCAGTATGTCACTGTGTGATATTCTGTTGCCATAACAACAAGAGAATGTGTCACCAGGTGGTGTGGATTTGTTGCTATGGTAATTAAAGAGACCCCCTTACACATGCTCTCCCTTTGCCCAGACTGCTCTCTTGTCCCCATACAGGGAAAAGGAAGCAGGGAGACCCACAGGTTATCAGGTTGGGGGGAAACCATGTGACAGATCCCCATGGCAACCAAGGGAACTGGGGGACACTGGTTGCCATAGTGACTATGAGAGACCTGTGCAGTCACATGTCTACTGTTGCTATGGTGACTGTCGGGCTGGAGTGGATCCCAAAGGGTGGGAGCAGAAGAGGGGAGGATCTTTCTCTCCACAACCCACCATCAAAGGCAGAGAAAAGGGAAATGGCAGAAGAGGACGCTTCTTCCATCCCTCCTCCTCCTCTCCCTCCTGGGAGAGGGAAATAGAGCATGTTATTTCAACAAATGAGCCTCCTCCATGGGTTTTTCTCTAGATAGAGCCCTGCCTAGCCTGTCAGCTGTACAGGTGAAGGAAGCATACTGAGGTACCTCTAAGGCTCTGGGCCTGGGGTGTGAACTCAGAAGACAAGCAAGCCCTCTAGCTGCCTCACTCCCTCCTAAGAGTCTAGAAATCTGAGACTAAGGAACGTTGAGGAGGAAATGGGCCTGGACCCAGGAATCTTGACCTTCTAGTAAGAGTTGGGGAGTTGAGGGGGCAGGTCTTTGCCTCACCCATCCCAGAGAGAGGTTGGTGCCTATGGAATCTAGTGCTCCCAAGGGTGGAAGAAGATTCAGGAGCTCAGCCTAGTGGCCTGTGCTCGCTCTTGGAAAGGGGAATTCCCCAGCAGAGGGCCCCCTACCCCTAGCTAGCTTGTTTCCCTATGCACCCCCAGCTCCAGTGTGTGGGCGTGTGGGGAGAGAGGTTTTCCAGCTGAACTGAAACTGAAGCCTGCCCAAAAGGCAGCCAGCCCCACCCAGAGACAGAGACGGGAGACACAGAGACACGAGAGAGGGCCGCTGGAATCTTTGGGAGGGGAAATAGGCCAGAAATCTGATTCAAACGTCTGTGACTATGTGTGTGTGTGTGTGTGCCTGTGCACGCATGTCCGCGTGTGTGAGTAGTGTGTCTGCCGCCATCCTGGCTGAGGCGGCAGGCAGGGTGGGGTGAGGGCTGGGGCGGGGTGAGGGCTGGGGCGGGAGCACGACGAAGGGGGGGTAGGGTGTGGGGAGGTAATCCCAGGAATGGCTCCAACTGGCACTAGGGGTGATGGGGAGTCCCCCAGCAGCAGAGCAGAGTGGAAAGTAGTGTGTATGACCCAGAAGGAAGGTGGGCCTGGGACAGTGTCAAGGATCCTTTGCCCCCTAGTACCACTCAATTCCTGGCTCCAGACCTTCTCCTCAGAATCCTCTCTGGAGAGTCTAGGGTTTGGAAATGGGAGGAGGAAACTGACAAGGAGATGTGAACAAGCCCCCCCACCCCTTTCCTCTGAGGACCCAATGGAGAATTCTCCCTAGGGAAGAACAGGCAGACTTGGGGTACTGGGACAATGGCGAGAGAGACTACAGAAATTCTTGGGGCCCCCTCCCTTCCAGAGACACACACTCAGACACACACAGTGACGCACAGTCCCACACTCACATTCACTTCTGGAAGCCATTAGGGCTCCTGCCGTTCAGGCCTCCCCCCTTCCCCCCCCAACTCCTGGCAGGCTCCCTTCTCTTTCTTTGGCCCCCCCCCCCCCCCCCCCCCCCCGGCATCCCAAATGCCAGCCTGTGATTTCCAAATGAGAAAAAGCTGTGCTGGGCTCTGAGCTTGGAGAAACTCCTACACAAACTTCCAGATGTGACACAACAGCCGAAGAGGGAATGCTCAGGCTCAGGATCTCCTTCCCAGGAGGGAAAACGCACACCCTCACACTAAGAAACACACAGCAAAGGCCAGTACTCCCCTGAAATCTGGGAGGTGAAGGCCTTTAGCATGGGAGCTGGTCAGGCCAGTGCCCCCTGTTCTCCCCAATACCAACACACACATCTGCGCCTCTTCCTTTTGTTGCCCTTTCCTCCTCCCCAAACACACACATACCACACACCACACACACACACACACACACACACACACACTTCCTACCTGTGTCTAGCTC